GCGCCATTGGCTCAGTCGCTTTTGACAAGAGACCAGAGAAGGATGACAGGGCTGGTCTCGAAGGCTCCATAGGCTGTGATGTCTCGAAAGACAATGACGAAAGCTGCTGTGGAGCTGGCTTGGGCGTCTCAACAGGGTCGGTAGACTGGACTGAAAAGTTTGACAGTTGCATGTGCGGTAGTCGCGGTGCAAGAGGCGCGGTAGCAACTTGCGAGTAGATTTCAGAAAACTGTTGTCTCTCTCGACTGGGCATTCGCGGCTCTGTGGCTTGGGTCAACGTTGTCGAAAACGCTGAAAGTGGTGTGCGGGGCGCATCCTTGGGCGCGATTCCGTTGGACACCAGGGCTGATATCTGCAGAGGTGTCTGCTTGTGCGACGCATCTCTTGGCTCGGTTGCGTGAGCAGCCACCTTTGACATTTGAAGCAACTGATGCTCTTGTGCTCGAGGTGCCTGCTGGGGTTGTACCGAGGCAGCCTCTTCAGAAGTCACTATGGACCTGGGAGCATCAGCAACGGACTCAATTTTCTCCACAGGCTCTGTTGACTGAGTCGATATGGCCGATCTCAACAGCTGTAATGGAGCTAGAAGCTTCGAGTTATTAGTTTCCTTTGGCTCAGTAGCCTGATGAGATATAGAAGAAACGTCCAACGAAGCAACGACAGGCTCTTGCACGTGTGGTGAGACAGGCTCAGTGCCTTGAGATGAGAAACCTGACAGGGCGAGAGGTGGTGGAAAAGATTGTCGAGGCTCCGTGCCCGCTGACGAAAAGCCGGACAACCCAAGAGGTTGTGAAAGAGCATGTCGAGGCTCTGTGCCCTGGGAAGAGAAGTCTGACAATCCGAGAGGCTGTAAAGAAGCATATCGAGGCTCCGTAGCCTGAGATGCGAAATCCGAGAGCGCAAGGGGTGCTGGGAGAGCATGCCGAGGCTCTGTTGTATGGGCAGACACCGATGACATGTTCAGAGGTGTGACAGGTGCAGCACGTGGTGCAGTGTCCAGCGAACGCAAAGAAGAGTATGCTGACAATGGTACCAAGGGAGCTTGCGGCTCCGTCCCTTGGGCAGACAAGGATGATACAGCCAATTGAGGCAGCTGTGGCGCGCGAGGACTGGTTGCGTTTCCAGAAACGCTGGAGAGACGAAGCGTTGGTGGGAGCACCTGCTTTGGCTCTGTACCTTGCGAAGAAACTGAAGACACCTGGAGGTCTTGTGGGCGTGGGGCCTGCGGGTTTGTGTCGTTTGAACGCAAAGAGGACAACTGAAGGACAGGCATGCGGATGGCCTGAGGCTGAGTATCCTGGCTAGAAATTGAAGAAATGGTGATGGGCTCAGGGATAGCTCGCTCGGTCATGGTACCCGAGTCTACCATAAGTGGCCTGGGCATAGCAGTGATGGTTCTTCGCAGTGCGTCCGTTGACGACTGACGCGAGTGTATGATACTAGAGCGGCTTGGTGTGCCCTCGACAGTACCTTCAACAGAGCTGCCATCATCGTCACTCAAGTCGTTCAGCTCTGCAAACAGACTCTTGCCTTGAGCAGGCGTATTCTCATTGCTACTGCTGATGTAGCTTGCAGGAGAATCCCTAGATGCAGGAGGTGTACTAGCAAACAAACCCGAGCCGATCTTGGGTGTTGACCTGCGAGAGCTGCTCGGCCTCAACCGAATACGAGAATTCTGATGGTGCAAAGGCGTCCTGAAATCCGGCTCACTGAAGTCATCACCAGACGTAGAGGCTGTGCTCTGGTAGGAAGCAGCACGACCCCGACTTGAGAGCGATGGTCGACTATGACGCTCGCTCAGCTTAGGAGGTCTAGCCTCAGTTTCGGTTAGCTGATCACTGCTGTCTCCGTCAAGTGTCTCTGCTCCTGTTTGGAAAGCGTCCGACTCGGTTGCCACGCCGTCACGTTCAGTTGCAGTCTCGAAAGCAGCATCCGACGTCTCGTTGGCAGTCTCAAACCCTTCGAACGCGCTCGTCTCTGTGGCAGATTTGTTTCCACTAGAGAAAATTCGAGAAGTAGAGACAGACAGGTGCGGTTGTCGGCTGGGTGTAGCTGGCATGCCTTCCTCCTCTTCCCACTCGTCATCCTCAATGATCTCCTGGGTGCCACTACGCAGAGCGCCAAGACGATCTGGTCGAGGAGGTTTCTTGAAGATGTCCTTTTCGCTTCTCCTTCTCTTGCTGGCGCTGCCAGGTGCAACTTGAGCGCGGGCTGTGTCTAATTCATCACGGGTATCTTGCAACACTCGCTTGAGCTCGATTTTCTCGGTCTTTTCGCGGTGAATGTTGTTCTTGAGTTGCTGGATCATACGGTGGGCGTGTTGAAGGGAGTGCTTCAGTGTCTCGGTCTCGAGCATGCCATGGCGGGGAGTAGCCTTGCTTGGTGAGGGTGCAGGCGAATGCTCTGGAGTTCCTGATTGTCGTTCCACAAAGCTGTCATCTTGCGAGGAATCTTCAGAGCGACCACGCTCTTCGGACCTTGCACGCCAGGCAATAGCCTGTGCTAGCTGCTGGTTCTTGGCTGTGAGCTCCTCCACCTTGCGTTGCATTGCACCTTTCTCGGTCTCTGTCATGGCCACATTGCGACGAAGAATGGAAAGTTCTGTCTCGTGCTGCTTGGTCTTGTTGATGTGGTCGTCATTGAGCTTTGTGTACATCTGCTTCAACTCCTCCAGTTCCCTTTCCAAGGTGGTCCTTTCTGTGCGTGCGAGATCCAAGGCATGGTTAAGACGGTGTTCCTTGTCTGCTGCCGACTTGGACTGTACTTCGGACTCACGGATTTGCGTTTCAAGACTCCAGTTGACATCCTTTAGTCGCGACTCACTCTCATCCAGGGTTCGCAAGCGCTGCGACAAGCCTTCAACTTCAATTTCAAGTTGGGACCTGTCGAGGTCAGCTGCCTTGAGAGCCTCATCCTTCTCAAGCAGAACAGCCTGGAGCTCCTTGAGTTGGGAGAGCAGAGACGTGGAGATTTCAGTTGCTAGGGCGATATCGTTGATGCGACTGGGCGGCTGGTTCTTCTGCTTCCGCGACGGAACGCTGACTTTGGTAGGCGATTGGAGGGCTTCACTCGAGTAGACTGAGCCGCCGGTTGCAGCGTCAGTCTCTCCACTCGGAACGCGGGATTTGGGGAGGAAGACGCGAGCCGTCTCCCGTCCGACCTCATTAAACTCCTTCTCCAGCTCGGTCAGCCTCTGGCGCAGATCCTCGCCAATGTCATTCTCCTCTTGCTGCTGCTCTACTTCCTGCAGCCTGTCTTCAAGTTCCTTTCGTTGTTGGACAAGAGCGTTGCCGAGGTGGGATGTCTCCTGCAGCCTGCGAGTTGTCTCTGCCAAGTGTGCTTCGAGGGCGCGCTTGGCTTGAGCAGGCGATCCGTTTACGTAAAGGGAGAACTGGGAATTGTCGAAGGCCGAGTATCGCCTCTGGCCATCCTGCGGGGGCGCGAGAAAGGGATCTGATCCATTGAGATGCTCCACCGGCAAGGCGCCCGGTGGAGGGTTTGCTGCGGTCATTAGTAGTCGCGAAGGCCCGGTCTCCTATTGTCCCATTGCCCGGGGGGAGTGCTGAGGGTAACGACGCGTAGGGAATAAGTTTTTTTATGTAGTTTTTAGATGATGGAGTAGAGGGTGGGTGTGGAAAAAGGTATAATTAAGGAGCAGGCAAGGGACGTGGATCCGGCGACGAGTGGCGGCAGCTGTGGTGATGGTGTGCTGGAGACAGAAGCGACAGGGAGCGTCACTTGGTCGAGGCGAGGTCGGAATGCACAAAGGGCTTGGTCGAGGGCGACGCGCACAAAGCCGACTCGAGACACGGCCGCGGCTGCTGGCACTGGATCGCGTTTCGGTCACACTATAGAAAAGAAGCAAATGCGCATCGCTGGGGGCAGCGGCGGCGAAGGGTAACGAAAAAAGAAACAAGGGAATGCCGAACGGGCTGGAGGGGCGACGGAGGCGACAAAGGCGACAGAGGAGTGAGGTTCAGCAGAGGCGGAGGGTGTGGTGTGTCGACGAGCGAAATGAGGCGGCCGTGCACGTCAGGGCAGGCTATGGCGAACGAGGCAGCGCGGCATCCACAGCATCAACAGCGCTAGCGGCAGAGGGCAGTAGTAGCTGAGGCCTCTCCACCCTCGCCCAGGTACATGCATGTGTACAAGTACATCCATCCAACTGCAGGAGAGCGAGAGCACCCCGAGTCCCCACCGCTGCTGTGCGGCTCCCCCTGGCATGCAGCCCTTGATACGCGGGCGCAGAGCGCAGACAGGTGTTTACGGCTATCCATCCATCCACTCACCAGTTCCCCTTGGCCTCTGCTCGGACCCCGATGACACCACCTGCGTCACTATACGCACCCCATTACTACTGACTTTGAGTACATAGCCCACGACTGCGGCCGCCTCTTTTCCCACAGTAGGGGTACCATGACATGGGAGATAGGGGCTGCCGCCTCTCCGCCTCGGTGCGCGCATAATGCAATCGTGGCCTGTGTATCTGTGTTCATGTATATACTACATACTGCCTCCGTTGCTGGCGCATATACATATTTCCAATACACATGCCCCTTTGTACACGAGGCTGGCAGCCCCGATCCGCGCCCCATTGATGCTGCATCCCAGGACTGGTTGTGGCTAGTCAGTGGGTAACTATGCACTCGGAGGCTTCACCATGGCCACACCTACCTACCCACAACTCTGTGCGCCAAACGTCCCGCGCTCAAGCCGACTCATCAACTCGGTCGGATCAGCACCATGGCCATGGTGAGCGCATCTCCACGTGATCGGACTAGTGGTCACATGGCTGGTCGAGTCCGGCCTGGGTATGCCCGGACTATCTCCCGCTCGCCTCCCGCCTCCTGCCACTTGTGCCTGCGCCACTACCCCGGATCTCGGCACGTGATTCTTGATTTCTCAGCCACAGCCTGCCTCCGACTTTCTCTGCTCATCTCGCACCTCACCTTGCACATCCATCCACACCCACTCACACTCTTAGCCACTCCACAATCGCCATGGATGCGCCCGTCGTCAAGTTCAAGAAACGAGGAGCCAAGGCCGCGCCTCGCAAAGTCGCGCCTCCGCCGCCCCAGTCGGATTCAGACTTCTCATCCGGTTCCGACGCAGAAGGCGACGACGGCCGTGTAGTGAAGCGGCGAAAGGTCAACGACAACGCCCTCAAAGCCTCTACCGCAGACCAGAAGACCAACACATCCATTGAGGGCACAACACAATACGCCGCCAACACCTCTGCGGTAATCGAAGCAAGCAACGATGCGACAAAGCAGTCCAACTGGTACGAGGAAAAGACCGACGATGCTCTCAGCTCCCAGAACCTGTTGGGCAGCACGCGCACAAAGGCCTCTTCGCTCATTGAAAAGAACCCCGACGCGCCGACGCGCCAAGTAGGGCCTGTCAAGGCATCCACAAACATTCGAACAATCACAGTCACCGACTATACACCAGATGTGTGCAAGGACTACAAGCAGACGGGATTCTGTGGTTTTGGCGACAACTGCAAGTTTCTGCACGCCCGTGAAGACTACGCAGCAGGCTGGAAGCTCGACCGCGAGTGGGAAATGTCCACCAAGGGCAAGAAGCCCAGTGGCACTGTTGTCGCGTCTGCCAACCGTGACGCCCAAGAGAAAGATGAAGATGGCGTCGACCTGGCGCTTTTGGAAAAGATACCGTTCGCCTGCATCATCTGCAAGAAGCCGTACAAGACGCCTATCATCACAAAGTGTGGACACTACTTCTGCGAGGCATGCGCTTTGAAGCGATATCGAAAGGACCCGACATGTGCGGCGTGCAGCGCAAAGACATATGGAGTCTTTAACGGCGCAAAGAACCTACAAAAGCTGCTAGAGAAGAAACAGAAGTGGGAGGACAAGAAGAAGGCCGAGGCGGAAGAGAAAGCAAAGGAGGAGGAAGGCGGCGACTGAGTACCTGGCGGACGAGAACCGAGCAGGAGAACGTGAATGCCCAAGAATCAGCTGCGGCACGGTGCAGCGGCGGAGCTGACATTCTGGCTTGAGCCTCGGCTTGCCTGTCTAGTGTACCGGCGGTACTTCCGCTTCCAACGCCACAGAGTTAGTTGGTCACGCCGTGGTGAGCAACGGCGCTGCTTTTAGTTCATGTCAACGAACCAAGCAATTCCGTCAACGCTAGCTTCAGGGTGTTCTAAACTGTAGTGGTGGAGCGCACTGGCTATTCGAGCCACGCGTAGTACAGCTAAGCACATGGTTCGCGCACCGATCGAATACAGGTATGGCGACATTGCCCAGAGCATATCGTCAGAGGCATGGGAAACAAGCGTCGAGGCATCCTATCACTGGTCCGGAAGGACGTATGTATATATGTATACCATGTAGAGTGCGCTCAACAGCTCAGACGCGAATAGCTATTCGATTACAGTTCAGACATTGTTCCCAACAAAGGGTCTAGCATCCAATCATGCAGTGTCTCTCTATCCTCCCCGCACTTATCGCGACCACTGCTGCAGATAACTCATTGCGAGCATGTGAAGTGGGTCTAGACACATGGCTTGTCTCTCCGGTGAGGTGGGTTCCCTTCTGCTTGTCAGCACTGGTGCATTTGTGTAAACCAAATATCGGGAACACCAGGCAGGCCCTACAGAGATCTGGCAAACCAGAGTTCAGAGGACGGGGAGATTGATCGGTGTAAACGGGTGTAACTTGGCTTGGTGGATAACCGGATGAGGAAAGCCATGCACGCTTGACATGCTAGTGCACAGGGGGGCGCATACACAAGCCATCGGTAGCGACCATGGCGGATTCCCGACCTGACCTGGCGCAAGTACACACGTGTATACGTACTTGGATATATACGGACGGGGTTTTGTAGGCAGTCGCTGCGCAGCACCAGCAGGGCGTGTGTAGGGGTGGTGAAGGCCGTCAGCGCAAAGGCTACAGTCCTTCTAGAAGCGTTGATCTCTGCGCGCCTGGGCGTGTTGCCCCACCGCACTATGCCTCGTCTGAGGTCTGGCGGCTGTTCGATAATTAGTAGAAAGCGTTCAGTTTCCAACTTGGGCCCCCTCACGACACCGCGCGACAACAGAGATTTTGCCGTTTTCCCTGCCGGCGCCTGCTGAAGCACGCAATTGACTACCGCCGCCGCTGGCTGTGCCACTCTCTGCTGGTCAGTTGCCCATTGCCCGTTGCCTGGGGGTAAGATCAGTCCAAGGTACGGTATAGCCGTTGAGCCCTGTGACCGCCTGGACCCAGCCAATCGCCGCTAGGCGAATGCGTCACTCGCCGACACAAGGTATGCCATTCCCACTACCAAATGCGACAATGGACCGCCTGTGCTGCCTCTGCCCCCAGGCAATGCCTCCCACTGACACTGACACTGCCCAGGCGCAAACGATCCAGTGTCGCCAAAACCTGCTACACGCTCAAGGCTGCAAATCCTGCCCACCGCACGCCCAAAGCGGAATCTCCCGGCCGATCAGAAGACTCCCTCGTCCACCGCCCAGTCCATGCTTCTTCAATCCGACCCGAGCCTGGCCGAGGTTCCAGGCTTCACCAGAGAGCAATTGGACGCCCTCGCCCGCAGCGTCGAGCTCAGAAGGCAGCAGCTGCAGCAGGACATCAACGACTATATCAAGTCTAAGCAGGATGAACTGCGCGACTATGGCCACCAGGTATGTACTTGTTGAACTATTAATACGACCACTACGCCTTTGCCTTTCCTTTTTCCCTTTCCCCCGGCGGCTTTTCCACTGTTTCGCGCCCTGTCCATGTTTGTCAGAGTGCTGTTGAGGACTGATTCCGGCCTAGCTTGTAGACCAGTACCGCTCAATGCAATGCCCTCAGCAATTAAGTTCTGCCCAGAAAACTTGGGCAAGTAATGCTGAGGACACTGCTCCCTCATCAGCACCGCAGGAGCCCTCTGCGCCCGAGCCGCCCCACGCAAAGGCGCCCGAGCCCGAGGAAAGAACTAAGCAGAAGAAGCACACAAAGGTGCACAAGAGAGAGCAAGAGCTCTACGGTTTAGTCACGCCCGTCTTTCTGCCACTGCTCGACGCCCGCGACAGTTCGCCAGAGAAGAGAAAGAGACCGACGCCAAAGCCAGACACTGCCTACGGCGCAAACAGCGCAGCAGGCACGCCTGTGGCAGGAGCGTCGAGAGATGCTGAGCAGAGCAAAGAAGGCCGGAAGCAGAGGAAGGACAACAAGGACATGGAGAACCCAGCCTTGGGCGCGCTGACGAGGGAGAAGCAGTCAACCGAAGCAGCCAAGAAGTCCAAACGCTCGACAATGAAGAAGTCGGCGCTGCGACACAAGGACAAGGCCAAAACACCGCGCAAGAGAGTCAGTCTAGTCATTGATGGCCAGACAGTCCATCCCTCGGACACGGTCGACGAGCCATTGCTCACCTCACCTAGCAGCGAAACAACATCAGCCTCCAATTCCATCGCCTCGCTTGACGACATGATCGATCCGCGCCTTACATCGGAGAACCCAGTTTACATTGAGAACCATGATGCCGTACACCACAGCCTTCCCCTCCCAATGGCCAACGCTATCCGGTCCGCCAACAAGGCCTTGACTGAGTCTCAGACACCAACACCCGTATCCATTGCAAGCGAGCACTCGCCACCCCTTCATTCGCCACGCTCACCCAGCATACCCTTTGGGACCGCACAAACCGCCTCGCGCACCTTCCTCGACCCTCCGCCTACCCAACCGCCCCACCCAATCCCCGAAACCGCAGGTCCCAATCCCATTTTCCCCAACTCGGCAGTCGCAACCACGGAGCTCGAAAGCGATGGCCTCGCAGACCAAGACCAAGATTTCGACACTTACGTCGGCGGTCTGCACGGCTCGGGCGTCGCGGATGTGGATCAAGCAGGCAGCTACGGCTACCCGAGCAGCCTCGGCGCAAGCTACATGGAAAGCTACATGCAGAACCGCCCATTGCGCGTGCGGATGGAAGCAGCGAGTAAAGCAGGTCTCAGCGAAGCAGAGAAAAGGAAGTTGCTAGAGGAACGGGTTGAAGAAGAGGAGGACGAGCATCACGCCGACGAAAACGATGATATCGACGACGATGACGACGAAGAAATGTTTGAGCACGATGACGATGTTCAGCATGCGAGACACCGCGGTCGCAATACCGCCGATGTCGATAGCTTCATGGGTGATATGGACGACTTTTGACATGTGACAAGCTTTTAACTCACTCCACCCTTGCTACTACCTGTCTCTCTTTCTCTCTCTCTTCTTCTTCTTTTTTTTAAAAAAAACTCTCCGGTTTAAGGTTTTCCCAAGGGACACATAGACACACAGTTCGGGGTCGCGCCTTTATCACGAGCCCCGCATTCTGGGCTTACTGGGACCTCGGCGGCCGGTTTTCTTCCCGACGAGAATGTTGTCTCGGGCATGTGCCCGCAGATGAACGTTACATGGGAAAGTCGGACACATGTGAACGAGGGGGAGGGGGAGGAATAAAGGAAACTGGCTTTGTATCTTTTTTTTTTGGATGAATCTTCCCGGGGGGCTAGCCTGATGATGGGACTAAGTTAGCTATGGATATGGGTTATTTTTGTACATATGGGCGGTTTTTTGTGTGTGTGTGTTTTTTTTTTGATTTTTGATTTGGCTTTTTTTTTCTCAAAGGCAAGGGAAATTTTTGTATAGTAGGTGTTGTTGTTGTCCACGCAAATATACGTATATATTGCCTCATGGTAGAAACACATGAAATTTGCCTCATTCCATATACATGGGTCTCTGTCTCCTACATCTTGCTTCTCTTCTCCTTCTGATATATTACGTATGTACACTTATTACATCGAAACCCACCTTTCAAGTCTTCATATGTCGGTCGCACTTTCAATCTCGCTTGCTCACCTGCTGCACGCGATTCACCACTCTATCCAGCAAACTCACCATTTCATCGCTGACAAAGCGTGGATCATCTCTCTGGATAAAGTGGCCACAGCGGACCGCGGTAATGGGGCCAATAGCCTTGCCTTCATCGGTGATGTGGCACAGCTCCTCGTTGTAGCGACGCCATGCGGGGTTCGCATACGTCATTGTGAGGGCTTTGGGAGCGTTGAGGGGAGGGTTAGCTGTTTGTGGGTTCAGAGATTAGCCTTTTTAAACAGATGTATGATGAGACTGGAAAAACATACAAGACTGTTCAGCAAACGTCTCCCAATCATGGCCCACAACCGTCAAGTAAGGACCCCGACCCAGATACCCCTCCAACTTCGGGGCCCCAGCATCCGGTAGCAGTTTAGCCAGGTTCCTGCGTGAAAGACCCTCAGGACTCGGCACGTCCGGGTGAAACATGCTCCTGTACTTTTCCCTCACAGCACGGACTTGGTCGGCCGTCACGTCGTCGGGCAGCATGTGGGGATCAAAGTCTGGAGCATCTGGGTCGGGCCAGAAGGTCTGATAGTCGGAATTTGCAATTATGCTGTCGAGAAATAGGAGGCCGGAGACGGTGCCTGGATAGCATTGGGTGAAGAGGCGGGCCAGAGCGCAGCCTAGGCTGTTGCAGACGAAGATCAGGCAGGGATAGTGGGTTGGCTTGTTGATATCAAGGTGTTCGCGCCAGATTTGTAGGGTGAATTGCTTGAGCGCTTTGACGGCCGAGATGGCGTCATGACCGTGTGAGGGCGGGGGGTGAGGGTCGTCGGGGTCTGGGTCGGAGTCCCCTTGTCCATATCGATCGTAGCTTAGTAACCCTGGATATGGTAGTCGGCCTGTGATTCGTTTTTCCAAGAAGCTGCGTATTGCAGCGTCCCATGAGCTTCGTGGCATCATGGCCCCGTTGAGGAAGACGATGAGCGTCTGGGAAAACGGATTGGGGTGGTTGCCCTGCGGTTTCGAGGCAGGGTAATATGTGTAATGTATCTGTGCGCCAGGTTTAGTATCGAGGGCCAGTGAAGATACCTCCGGCTCCGGAAACGGGGGAAGGTCATCATCTTCCGTGTTTTCCATGCTTCCGGGAAATGGAATTGGGTAGCTGCGGGTGGTCATGGTGCTGTGTCTCCTTGCCGTGTTGAGAGGGTCCGCTTGCGACAAGTTTGTTCCTGGGGAATTTGCCTGGCTCAAGTAGGTGACGCTGGTCTTGGTGCTGTCACGTCCTTTTTCTGCGGCGGCATTTCTATCTCTTTCTTGCTTGGATAGGCCAGCATATTTGAGATGTGGTGGAATAAATGGGAAAGCATCCATGACTGGTCCTAGCTGGCGCGGCTGGGAGTGATAACGACGGTCAACACATGCGTGGGTGTGGCTAGTCCTCCAGATTGGGAAAGCGCACAATCTGGGGCAGTTGGAGAATGCGGGAGATGTCGGAAAGTAAAACTGCCGTACCCAAGCAGGTGGGCTGGAGGTGTTTGAAACCGGGGTAGGCAAAAGCAGCTTGCTGCGTTCTAGACGTCTGCCTTTGGGTTGTGATATTTTTTTTCCAAGAAGAAGGGTTACCCCTCTTCAGCCCCGCGACCGGGAACGGATGAATGGCAGGTTTTGGGACTTGGGCCTCTTGATGACGAAGTGCCAATACCGTCTCACGTGCAGGAGTCTACGATTATCGTGCCGCCAAGGACTGGGGATTCCAAAGCCGGAGCGGTCTCGAGTTGCTGGGGACCGGGGGAATCTGGGAGGGGAGAGGCTGCGAGGTTGGGCCGGGCATGATGATATCGGGGCCCAGCTCAGCCAAGAAGGGCCTCATGGTGATTGACGGACTAGTGGGTGGACTGCACCAGCTCGCAAGCCACGTTTGGGGGTGGCTTAGGAGGGTGAGTGTTTGGCGGATGCGGATGCGGATGCAGATGCAGATGCAGGTGCAGGAAACATGCAGCAGCAGCAGCAGTAGTAGCAGCAGCAAGACAAAGCCGGGCCCTGGGGATGGTGGAATTGGGGGAGAGGGGTGGGACGGAGGGAGATGGCAATGCACGCCGCAGCCGCAGTCGTGGTTGCTGGGGCGGGCGATGCACCACACACGATGCACCACGCAGCGCCAGGCACGAGCGCGGCTATGACGTGTGACATGGGTCGCTGCTGGATGCACGTCGCGATGCAACCACACGCCTGCGTTTCGCTTTGGGGCACACTTGATCCACCCACCACACCACGCTTACTCGTGCCCGTTTTTGAATTTAATTAACCCAGAGCAGGACGCCCTCAGCCTGGGCTGCCGCCATTCCTCCTCTGCTCCCGCCAGCACTACTACACATCTGCATCTCTGCATATCCCTCTGGCCACCACGCACGTCACGCACCCCTAGGTTGGTCACTAGGCCCTCTAGAAGACGCAGAAGCCAGCTAACCGCCTTCTAGCGCTGCAGTAACCTCATCATGACATACATCCATGCCGAAACCCAGACCGTATGGGCGGGCCTTACCAAGATGGACATTCGTCCTGACCTTCTCTTCACTGCCCCCGACACCACCACTCCCCCCGCCGAGCTTATCCCAGACAAGCAACACGACATGGCCGCCATCACAGCCTCTACCCGACTGGGCTCGCTCGATGCCCACGCTACATCCTTCGGGGGATTGCTCCAAAAGCGGCAGAAACGCCCAGAGCTCCCAACACGCATCTCTCTGCCCAACTCGGAGCTAGACGACGAGGTCCTGCCCTCCCCGCCGCCCACACACGCTATCCTCTCCCCGCTACCCGAGGCCAACAGGCTGCATGCCGGCCACACTCCACTGATCCCCCGCGCTCTCTCCCCAGTTCACTCCGACAAAGGGCCCGCCGCCCCTGAAGAAGAAGCGCCGGCCACAGAGTACTACGAGCCGGAGCCAAGCAATCTAGCAGACGACCAGCCCCTCATCGGGCCCCTCATGCTGCCCACGAACCCCGTGGAAGGTGCAAGTGATCACATTGCCCTCGACGTGCTCGACGACGTGCTCGAGAAAGTGGCAAAAGACCAGGATAGATTCAGCAGGCTCAAGGATGCACCAGAGCCCGAGGTGGTACAACCAGATCCCCCCACTGCACCTGCAGCAGATGCAGACCCGGGCCTGTCACTAAGCCGAAACACGTCGTCCGACTCGCGCAAGTCGAGTAATAACAACACAGAAGTCGTCGACGGCGTCAGACTGAAGACTCCACCACTGAATTTTGGCGTCCCCATAGGACAAGTATAAGTCCATTGTTGCTTCAACAGGATCATCAACATCTCAGGAAATATATCATTTTCCAACGAGCTTTCTCTCTGATTTGCTTCGCATTTTTTTGGACATTTTGGAACTTTACAATCTGGAACGGGATATCATGGCAACAAATTGGGTGGTTGGGTAGCGGGCCAGCGTTTTGAATTAAAAAATCAAAACAAAGGAAGAAAGACGCCACACTTCTGAAGAAGAACAAGGCAGCGGTGGAAAGAAAAAAAAAGATGCGATACCCAAAAAATTTATTTTCCCATGTATGCCCACTAAGAGGCACCGCCGTCATCATATCCAGAGAGAGCCATCATCGCAAAAGGCTATATAGACTTTACCAGCCTTAAGCGCCATGCCAAAGGACAACAATAGAATTTCAAGCCATGATTTAGTTATATATCGCTTTCTGTCTCAAAAGGACCCCATGACCAACCTGCGTCACACAATGGCATGGTGGAAACGGGGTGGGGACTGAAACACATCCATTTCAATGCTTTGATGGCGTCTAGCCCTGGTCATTATACACATGCTATTCGTCACACCAATTCCTTTTTTTTCTCTAGTCATCCTGGTCCCAGTTGCCCGCCTGTGCCTTGCCAGGCATCTTGGGTCCACCAGCCTGCTTGGCCACAATGATCTGATCCACGCTCAACACTGTCCTTGCTGCCTCCGTCGCCAGCTTAACGGCCCACATCTTGCTGACCCACAGGTCCAGAATGCCCTCGGCCTTGGCATCAAGCGTGCCCGTGTCGTCGTTGTTCTCAATGTCCACACCCACCGTCCACTCGTCGTCTTTGCGGTTCTTCTGTGCTGCGTGTGCAACGTACAGCTTGGCCAGCACTTCGGTTGCGTCCAGACCAGCTGACTCGGCGAGCGTGCGTGGGATAACCTCGAATGCCTCGGCATATTTACGGATCGAGTACTGTGCCAGACCGGGTGTCTTGTCTGCAATAGCCTTGATTCTCTCGATCAACTGCATCTCAGTTGCTCCGGCACCGGGCACTAACCGTGCGTCGCGGGTAATGGCCTTGACTACGTTGACACCGTCGTCAATCGCTCGCTCTACATCGTCGAGGTGGTTCTGAGTGGCACCGCGAAGCACCAGAGTGGCAGTCCGTGTCTGTTCGTTCTCTTGCCTGAAGACTGTGACGCGGTCACCACCAATCTCCAGTGTCTCGACCACATCAATGCTGCCCATCTCATCTGGCATGGGTGCACCAAGACGGGCGAGCGGTGTGGCTCCAACCACCCTGCACAACCGTCGCAACTCGAACTTGGACAGAATCTTGATGACGAGGATGTTGTAGCGGTTCAGGTAGTGCATGGCCAATTCGCCAATTGTCGATCCAGCAACAACCACCCTCAGGCCAGAGTCGTGGAGCTCCTTGATAGCCTGCTCCACTTGTTGCTCCTCGCCCTTTGTGAATTCCATCATTTCCTTTGCGTTGTGTAGCAGCACCGTGCCCTTGGTCTCGGTTTGCGAAATATCGATTGGGCACGAGAAGACTCCGACCTTGGCCTTGGTTGCCTTTTGTACAGTACCATCGGGCTGTCTTGCGAAGACCATGCCCTTGACCACCTTGCTCTGCTCCAGAGCTCCACCCATGATCTTGACCACGCGGACGTTGTCGACATTGAAGTTTACGGGGTTCTTGGGGAGGACGGCGAGAACGGCTTCGGCGACGAGGTCAGCGAGGAAGTCTTCGCTGCCAGACTGCTTGGCGGCAACAACGGTACGGATGGCCTTGCTGAGTTGTTCTTGTGACCGGATGTCCTCAACCTTGTCGCATACGAGCTCTGGCTGGAATTAGCTCTGTAATTCTCGACTGCACCTGCAAGATTCTATACCTTCGAGTGTTTGGAGAGCAGCAAGCTGTGCCTTCTCGTAGCCCAAAACAATGTCACTTGTCTTGAGACCCATCCTGATGAGCTCCTCAGCTTTCTTCAACAGTTCACCAGCCAGTATAATGACAAAGTTTGTGGCATCACCCATCTCTGCCTCTTGCTGCTGACTGGCCATGACCAGGAGCTTGGCTGCCGGGTGTACAACCTCGAGTTCACGCAGTATTGTTGCCGCATCCGAGGTGAGGATCATCTTCTGGAGGTGGTTTATGACAATCTTGTTGCGGCCATATGGTCCGAGAGACGTCTGAACCGTCTGGGCAATCGTCCGGCAGGCATCAATGTTGCGGATGACGGCTCCATCTTCGGCGTCGTAGCTGTTGCGGGGTGGTTAGTTGAGTGTTTACAGTGATTGCGGGGTTGTGCAAGAGCATACTTTTGGTAGCCTTGCTTGAAGAGGCCGGCATTGGGGGCGTTGGGTATCGAGAGAGACATTTCGGCGGTATATGAGGGGTATCTTGATTGTGGTGGTTACCTGACCTTTGGGTCTGCGCGGCGAGAACGCGTCCAGTCCCAAATTTCGATGCCAAGACTTGGGGATCGGGGGAAGAAATGACCGACAATTCACGACATGGACAACTGTCAGGGTTGCCGTTTGGACATGGATTTTCATGAACCTTCTATGGCCCAGATGTAGTAGACAAGATGCCGCCACTTCTGACACTCTTCGAACTTGGCTTCGCATCGAAAGACAGGGCAGATGCCACGATTCCCTCCATCATGGGCGCGGCAGACATTACTTCAGTATATAGAGCACAAGCAATGTTCAGGTAAAAGTAGACGACTGGCTGTGGAGAAGCATCCCATGTCATTTATTCATGGACAAAATATCCGTCCATCTCAGGCGCGTAAACATCACGTCTCTGAGGGCATGCAAGAATGTGAGCAATGACTATCTAACTGTACTCTGGAGAGTTTGTAAGGGTACCGCTAGCGAATTTAGATTGCTCAACTTCCTCTGGGCACCATAATAATGGCCAACATCTCATGAGAGTGCGAGTATGCTGGAGATAAGGAAAAGTGCCGTGAAGAAGAAACGATGGCGCCCGCGCGCAAAGAAAAGTTATTCGCATAGCTGCTTAGGTAATACCGAGCTAGGCCCAAAGCACTTCCGCTCCCCGAACTTTTCCAACGTCTAGAGATGGCTGCGCCAGCATCGTAATTCGGCCACGGCCTTGGGGAGATATGAACACCGGACAGCAGGCGACTAGGCGTCTGGCCTCGAGAGCCGGTATGCAACGCAATTGGCATTGGGCGCATCCTGATTGCTGACGAACAAAGGCCCCTCGACATGTCGCTCATGTAGAGACACCATCACCCGCACCTACGCATCCGCTGCTGCTGCAGTACAGACCCCGGACCAAACCACTCAACATGTTCCCCCGGTTGCTCAAGCCTCTCCTTCAACCGCATATGCTGTCAATGCTGGCGTCGTCCTTTCCCGACCCCCGCAAATAACACGCGACCTGCATCCATTCGAGTCCGCATTTTTTCTCTACCAAAAACGTCTGAATGAACGACTCGCACTTCCCTTTACACGGTACTTTTACGTCAAGAAGCGAACCCCGGCCGATCTGGAATGGAAACGGAAGATGAAGCAACGGCTGACCCCCGCCCGCGACATCGGACGGTACAAGGGCTACGGAGACGAGGCCTGGAATGACGAATTGCTTGTTGGAGCACCTGAAAGTGATTTCGAACATCAAGTCGGAAAGCTGCTAGAGGACGCCGAGCAGTCTGGCCTGGAAGATGCGCCAGACACCACAGGCGCAAACAAAATGGAGCGTGAGCCTGTGGAGAAGCCAATGCCGAGAGTAACGGAAGCAGACAAGAAAAATGACACAAAGAGTTTGAACCGCGCGCTGCAACGGACACTGTATCTTCTAGTAAAGAACAAGGAGGGACAATGGCAGTTCCCACAGGATCGCCTGAAGGATGAGCATCTGCATGGGGTATGACCCCGCCCCCACTTGGACGAGAGAGAGGGTGTACTAACAAAATCTCAGGCCGCAAACCGTATCATTACCAGCACCGGTGGCGTCAACATGAACACTTGGCTTGTCGGCCATGTACCAATTGGCCACTACCAACTCGAGTATCGCGAGCCACGACCTTCTGGAAGTCTCAAGGAGTATGGCGCAAAGACCTTCTTTATGAAGGCGCGCATCATGGCTGGTCAAGTCGACTTAAAGGAGAACAAGCTCGGTCTCCAGGACTTCAAGTGGCTAGCCAAGGAGGAATTGCAAAAGGAGGTTGACGGCAGTTACTGGCGATCCATCAAGAACATGCTTGCCGAGCGGTGAAATTGCTTCACCAATTGCTTCACCTTTACGATATATGGCATGATGAAAGTAGATGACGTGTAGCATGCACCAATTCTTGTAGCATTATGTACATTATACAGAAATATTGGACAGTGGGTCGTGCTTGATCGAGGAACTACGCCGGAGACATCTAACCGAAAAGCATCACGGATGTCCTGTTGCTTAGGTGAATGAAAGAAAAGACATATCAACTAGAGCAAATATATGTTCAGAGAAAGTAGGAACCTACGACAAAGAGACCCAAATGATCAACCCCATCAATACTTCACAACTCAACCAGCCAAAAAAAACCTTTCCATCTTCACTAACACTTCTCCCAATCATAACTAAACCCCTGCTGCGTCCCATAATACTGCCTCCCCAACTCCACACTATCCTCATACTCGCTCTCCACAACCCCCATCTGCCCCGTCTCTCCCATCATCCACAACTCCGTCCGAAAAGTAAAAAGACCACTCCCACATTTCGTCTGCGGAATAAGTTGCGGCGGATAACTAATATTCGAATAATGCTCTTGAGCATGCTGTCCGGATTGCAAGGGGCCCGTAAGATCAATCGTATCGGCAACCTAGACGTACATCAAGTCAGCCTTTCTGTTTTATTTGTCGTACCTCCCTTTCCCTTTAGTAACCACAAGAAAACAGTATTCAAAAAAAAGGAGCTGGACATTACCTCCCTTCTCCCCACCCCCTCCCCCTCATAATACGCAAAATCCCAATACACCCTCACTCCCTCATCAAGCCTATACGTCAGCAACCCCTTCGTCCCGTTCTTATGCACCCTCAGTCTGTACTTCTCCGCCTCGTCCTTCCCGGTCACATCCGCAAACTCTTTGTACGAGACGGTGGCTTCGCACCAGGTATGTCGGGGCCCTGAGGCGAGATCGACGCGCAGCCAGGGGTAGGCGATGAACCAGTAGTAAATTTCTGAGCCGTCGATTGTGTTGGTGCCGTGGGTGGGGCGCGTAAGCCGGATTGGGGAGGAGGAGGAGGAGGAGGTGTTTTTGGCGGTGTCGGGGCAGCCGGGGCCGAAGAAGGAGGAGAGGGTGAAGGACCAGTTTGGAGGGAGGATGCGCTGGGGGTCTGCTGGGGCAGGGGAGAGGGCGAGGGCGGTGGGTAGAGTTGTGAGGAGGGAGAGGAAGGGGGTGGTGTATTTCATTTTGAGGGTGAGGGACTGATGAATTTGGGGCTGGGTTGCTTACTGTGCTTTTGTGTTGTTTCGGACGACATCGTGGTTGATGGAGTATTCATGGGGCCTTTATAGATGTCGATGTGTTTGGCATCTTTGCTATCTGGATAGCCTGGGGATGCTCTACCGCAGGCAATATGTGTGTATCACCTTGGATCTGGTTTGAGAGGCGCTCTGGACATATTATCCCACATGTTCATAGGTATCATCACTCTATCGCTCATTGAGTACCGTTGAGGATTACGTACAGAGGGCATATTAGCAATCCCAATATCGTACCGAGAAGAAAGTTCGTTTGGAAGCGGGATTGATGTTCGGTAAGAAATTGATGAGTAGAGATGAAGTCAGGCGGCCACTACTCGTCGTGTAACCAGTGATCTATCCGCTTATTTCTGGATCCTGTGCTTGCCCGTGTTCTGCGGCCCGGCTGATCATCGCTGTTCTGCAGTCTATCTCCAGCACCAATCCGGATCGACTTGGGGTTTCTGTGTCAATATGTGGTTAAACAGGACTGTGTGGGGAAGTCTGGAATAGGATGCATGCAGCGGCTCGTTAATGGAGCTGACACTGTGTAGTAGCGGTTGTGTCCGTCAGCACAGTGAAACTTGACGAATTACAAGCTTCCTGTGAGGTAATGGCTTCCCTATGCGTCTACTGGGCATCATTTAGCCTGTAGTGATTGCTGAGAGCAGAAAATAACCTGTAGACGATGGAACAGATGCTTTAAGGGGATGGGTTCATACGAAGTATCGCGATCCTCTTCGCTCATTTGCTCGTTAAGTCACATGGGCTGGCTCTTATGGTATTGATTGAGAGTTTTGGTGCAAAATTGTCGACATATTACGAAAAGTGCGCAGTACTATAGATCTTCATAAAGTCTGTGTTTGGGGAAGAATGTGACTGGAAATTGCTGTACTTCTACACACCATCTCAATACCAGAAGAAGCTAAATCACTATCGGCCAGCCGGTTGTTGATTCTCTAAAGTTGCTTCTCAGAGTACTGACAGCATCTCATTTCGCGAGCCCTTTCCAAGAAATAAGTAGATCTCGTGTCCAAATTGTGTCCATAGCTATCTGATATGTACGCTTCGATTGTAAAGGTAGAATCCCGATCTTGCATCAAAGATAAACTATTGCCAAAGTAGTCTTTCTCTGTTGCGATACACATTCTAAGATCTATTGTTTAAGAGGATGAAGCAAAATCCACCAATAAATTCTACTAACGTATGGAAACTTTTGAGAGATCTCATACGAGGCGCTTTTTTTCCATCGAGGATGGACCTCATACGAGACAAAACAACGCTATATCTCTAAGTAATTCTATTTAGCGACTCCGAAAACTCCGTTAACCTGCCTAAACTCGTAACCATGCTTACAAAGTAAGCTAAATACTCTCAATACAGAGTTGCAAGGGCAAATCCTGATTCAAAATTCCGGTACCTCCGCAACTGGTAGGATCGTACGCTGCGTTACGAACATCCGGGAGTGCTTCGGCGCAAAGACGATGCTGAGTTGACAGAACAAGACTAGCTACCTTATGAAGCCTTGTTACGCAGTGCAGTTGCGGTGTCGCTTGTGGTATCGATTGCGAGATCGTCCAAGAGCTCGCTGCTACGGACGTCATGGAATGCCGAAGGAGGGGCGTGCGTTAAACGGACATCGTTTTGATCCCCGTTCGTCATGATGCCTCCAATAGGTTGTTTCAAGTCCAGTCACATTAGGTTATCTGCAGAGAGCCCTGTTTCTCAAAGTAATCCAACTTCTGCTGATGCGTTGGTACACCTACTGTGTATACAGTTGTCGCCAAATCTTCAAGTGATCGCTTATGCATTGATGAGGTAGATTGGACTGGCTACCGGAAGCCTCAAAAGGGTATCGCGGTGCGCTAAGAAGAGCCAAGCTCAACGCATCTGAAGTCTAATAGGTGCTCGATGCGAGGCAACCGGGTTACCAATGATCTTTACTATCCTTGAGACGCGGAGATTCGTATGATTTTGGTCCGCGACAGTAGAGAAGCCGTCTCACTCAAGATGTGGCCTCAGTCTCAGGCTCAGATTATCCATCCGTCAAGGTGAGCTGTCTGATGAAATCATTGGCTCGAGCCTCCATCCCACACATTGGCCAGGTCGTTCAATATACAGACCGAAGGGAACATGCTGATGCTCAAGACTTTTCTAAGAATCTTCAGTATCTCTTCTTGCCTTTCTTTTGTCTCAGCACAAAGCGCAGCTAGTATGCTATTAGTGTGCAATCATTGTGAGCGCATCGCTATGTACTCACCTGCATATAATGCCTGAAAGCTAACGAAAGCTGACGGCAAATTTTGCGATTGCTCTGCGACAACGATTCCGCATATAATTGAGGTACTTTCGTGAAGAAGCTTGAAGCGTGTTTGGTACGTATTGAGACCACCATTAGAAGGTTGGTTGAGTAAAACGACTATCCTTGCAAAATGATAGGTTTGGATAGCAGCAGCATGCGCCGGAGGATGGATCCATATGGGCTGAATTTGAGTTTTCCCCAAAGAGGGCGGTGACGTTACTTGAGATGCGGGTGCACCAGGGATAGGATCGAATGATGGCGGAAGAAGGTGTTTCCATGCATCAAGTATCCGAAGCAGGGTTTCTCCAGCTTCGATGTAACCAGCGATATCGTCCTGTTTGGGCGTTGCCGCATACTGGACACATTTGGCAGCGATGTATATGATACGTGTCGTCAGCCCCTCTAATGTAAGTTCTGCCATTGGTGTGATTGGTTGGTGTACGGTAAGTGCTGGTCTCCCAGTCCGGAAAGCTGCCCATACATCTTGTCGTAGCCATGCCCACCAGACTGCACGCTGCAATCCATTTGCAGACTCTCCGCTCGTACCCGTGTTCCGTTGGATCCAAAAGGCCCCTCTTAGGTGGCGATCCCATTCGCTGTGGTTGTAATCTGCACCTGCTCCAAACATCTCGAATGTCGAGAGCATGATACCAGTTGCCAGTATTTCCAGAGAAGTCGTATATGACTGGTATATCAAGTTTTGCGATATATACTGTAGTGTTTCTAAGAAAAACTGATCACCAATCTTCCTTCGCAAAGGTGTTGACACACTACCACATGGTACGGGTGTTTGAGGATATACGGGAGATGTGGACTCATTACCAGTGTCCTGGTCTGGGTAGAGACTCATGTGACATGCACCAACTGCCAGGATCGACTTGAGCAACCCGACATTGCGCAGAGCGAGATGTGGCACGATATTGGCAAAGTGCCTCTCGGTATCGAACAGATCCAGTATCGGCGCTACAACGGTCACATAATGTGAGAAATATACCATCTCTTCACTATTCAGTTCGAGCTTTGTATGGGTATTCCACGGCTGGGTCGGGACAGTCATTGATTGGATATTCATATTGCTGAAAAGACTATCCCCAGATTCCAAGGCAATGGTTTGCATTGGGGGTTGTCTTCGCGATAGACTTGCGATGTCGAAGTCCCTGTGAATGCTTCGAGGCCGCTCCTGTAACAAGTTGATTGCGTCTTCTGCAAGTCGGTCATACCTGCCGAGCATCAGTTTCCTATCAACTTTACAAGTAGATCCATACTACCATTCATTAGGGCCAGAAGTGGTTATCAGATTATCTCCGAAATTGAAAACGCTGTCGTTGAGAAGGAATCTTTCGTCGGGAATTACGTTATCAGAGAGCACTGATTGCCCAGTGGGAAATGGTATCCATGATTGGATGGGAGCTACAGCCTCTGAACTTAGTGAGCTTTCTGATATTGAAACACTCGCTTCCGGCTCGCTTTCTGGCGGCACTGATTCGGTACCAGTTGATGAGCCTTCGTCTGGCTTGCGAGCACTCAAAGCCCTGGGCTGCCGAGGTGCAGAGGATCTCTCGGCATAGACACATTCGCGAGTGACCCTTACGCAATTCTGGCAACTCGGTCGACCTTCATCGCACTTGACCCGGCGCTGGCGGCACGTCAAGCTACCAGGAATCAGTAAATGTGAGGGATCTCATTAAGTTACAGAGAGTCAAAGGTGTAAATATTTGCAAGTCGCAGCTGCACCAGACACGAAAGGCCATTTTGGCTTATTTTGGGAACAAAATCATTCACGTAACATACCAACCCGTAGAGGTTCTCAAACCTCTTGATTTGGAAGGCATCCCTCCAAAGTCGTGCAATACGTACGCGGGAGCCAATGTACGGAGGGATCGTGTCGAGCTGGAAATAGGCGGGCTCGATGCGGGCGACTGGATCAAATAGTAGGATTTAGGTAGAGACGCACGGAAGCTAACCGCAGTCGCGTGCGCAAGTCTGCGGAGGTACCCCTCGCACAGCCCGGTCCAGCATGACTCGGAATATGGGGAAGTGATACAAAAGCACCAACAGTGAAGGATGCTGGGCGGAGTGGCACGATGAACTGCTGACGTAGTAGGAGCTCGATGTTCACGTGGATGACCTTGGCGTCGTTATTGGCGTCTAGAGCAGCGTTTTTGACATACAGACAGGCTACACACGTGATAAGGTGAAGCACACCGAGTTGTGTTTTCATCTTTCAATGACGATCCAAAAAGGCCTATACAAGAAAATGATAGTATAGTACGTATTATTGGTCTACATTGCTATGATGTGAGGCTTTTTCCATTCTAGTATCAACGCGCTGCTCGGGCAGCGGAATCCGATGGGATACAATATAGTATACAAGGTTTGATGCACAATATAAACGACACCAATGTTCATCCCCTCCATAAGTCGCCCCCTCTGCCACGGAACCCGCCTCCTCTACCTCGCCCTCTAAACCCGCCTCTGCCACCTCTGTATCCTTCGCTCCATGGGCCACGATCTTCACCAACCTCTACGATGCGATCATCATCGTCGAAGCTGTATTTGTATTTCATCTCTGTCTTAATGCCTCTTCCTTTTCTGACCTCGCCTGGCGCCCAGTCTCGGCTTGTCTCAGCATCCAGTTCCTTCAGTCTAATCTCGGAAATCTCGTCTGAGACAGGGATGTAGAATAGTTGTGGTTTTGACTGTGTCGATTCGAAGAGTTCGTGGAGTGTCTTGAACGAGGCCTCGGTATCTTGACGAGCATCCTTTGTCGGCACTGAGGGCCGCTGATGGACGGACGGACGACGTGTATCCTCACTTCCACGTGGGCCTCTTGGTGCATTAGAGGGGGCGCTGGAACCGACTTCCTGGAACACTGCTGTGACTGAACCATCGCTAGATTCGGGATACACAACCTCGAAGCGTTTCGGATTGGTAGACCTTCCACTGGCACGAGCTTCCTTTTCGGCAGCCACTGCATCCTCCTCTTCTTTGATCCAGCTCTCGACGCTTTCTTCAGGAATGAAGTCAACCCATAGTTCCCTCCTCTTCCCCTCTGGTGGCCAGATCGAACCATGCAATGACGCTCGTACTCGGGACGCGGCAGTCTTAGTACTGAACAAGACAAGAGCATGCGTTTTCATTGCATCCAAGAAAAGAGCTTTGACAATTGTGGAGTCAGGCGAGCTAGAAGGTGGAGAGGCGAGAGAAACCAAATGTGCACGTAGTGGTTCCGGACGCAACGGGCGCATAAAGTTACGAATGTACAAAGCTGATGTTACTGGGTGGAGTGCGGGCACCGTCGGCCGATCGTCAGTCAAGGCTTCCTGGGGTGTTTCGTTATCACTAGACTTTACCAAGTCTTTGTATTGAGCAGCCTTTTCTTTTCTTTCGCGCTTTGCATCAGCGTCAGCCACTGGAGAGTTTGCTTCTGGTAATACAGTGTGATAGCCATTCGTTTGGTCCTGTTTGGCATCTGTCACATGATCGTCTTCTTCCACTGGTCTTTGCTCCATCACTACATCTTCATCTTCTTTAAGATGTACCTCAGGCGCAGGGTTTTCGCTTGGTCGATGCTTCTTGGCTCTGATATCTTGGGCCTTCATCTCCGGTGTCTCACTGCGCCTCTTTCGCTTCTTAGAATCGGCCTCGAGTTCTTCGGTGTTAAGTCTAGATGTCTCGTCTGGCGAATGCTCAGATCCCGTGGCAATGTCCGGCTTCTCCACTGATTCCTGTTCATTGAGTGTAGCCGGAGTTGGCCTCTCGTCCATTGTAATGTCTTGTGAATCTTTGGGTGCTTCGGGGTCATGATGGACCAATCGCAGGGCCTCAGCGGCTGGACCGGGGGCCTCTAGCAGTTCGTCTTTTGCAATAGTGTCTTCGTTTCCATCCTCAACCTCCGCATTCGCAGGCTCAGTAACCGTTGGGCCCACTACGCTGTCTGGATCCGCAGGGGGGGCATTGAAGATCCCTGCTGGCTGTATTGAACCCGGCTCATCGGCTTCAGTGACAGCTTCTGCTGGCTGCTCGATTACTTGAGTCTGGTTTGGTGGTGCAACGTCGCTGTCTATGTGTGATACTGTCTCTGGCAGGGAATCTGTCGTCGCTACGGGTACCGGTGCAGTGCCAGGTTCGGATTCAGGCTGCGCCTCGGGCTCTATTTTTGGTAAGTCGCCAATCGCATGAAGTCTTTGAGTATGTAATTACCTCCGGCTTTTGCGAGCGCGGGTCCAGGTACTTCTGGTTCGGGGGTGGCTTGCTTCGCGCTTACTTCCTCCTCAACCCGTGGGGTTGGTTCAGTAGGCGCATTGGGAGTTTCCAGAACACCATCTGCCTCTTCAAGTTTCTCGATAATTTGTGCCTTTCGCGTCAGGCCCGTACTCGGTATGCCCCGGTCTTTTAGTATCTGTCGTAGCTGCGCGACTGTCTGCTTATTGTAGTCCGCCATTGCCGGGTCGGTCTGTTTAGCAGTGGTCAATATGGTAGAGGATTGGTCGCATAAGCAACTAATATCTGATGGGAACCCAATTTTTTGGAAAAAATACAGGTGAAGGGAGAGGTTAAAGTTGCGACCAGGTTGGCTGCCAACGTCACAGTCGAGAGATTCGCGCGCGTCGCGTTAGTGTCTTGGCGTCACGGAAGTGGCTCGTGCGCAGCCTGCACATGTGGAGAAGGCTTGCATTAGGGCCCTGGCCGTTGTTATTCAGACTCGTGGGGGTCAACATTCTAGATCCATGCTATCAGGGCTTCTTATGCAACATCAAACTGCATCAAAATTGTGTAGGGCATACTCTAGTAAGTACGACAATGTGTACTTGGATGCTAGAATGAGGAACGTCACAACAAACACCTCTCTAAATACTATATGGTAGCCCAGATGGTATATTTTTACTTTAAAAAAGCAACCAGTAGAGTCAAATTGCAACACTGGAGGAGGTAGGCAGCCAACAAGGCTGGCGGGCTACCAGAAACCTCATACTCACTAACGCTCAAGGCCAGGAGATCCGCCAAGAGAGCTGAGCGGTATGATTAGCTTAATGCAGCTAGGATGCAGATCACAACGGCACTTTGTGCGGTACTATTCTCTATAAAGGATTTCTACTCAAGTTTACTATTGGTCAGCCCCGTCTGCTCTGAAGGATCGATGCTTACTCTTCAGTATTGAACACACTATTTCTGTGGCTCGCACCCACTTATGCGCGTGCGGACGCACCATGTGAAAACGTCTATTAAGCAAGTGATAGTAGTGGCTAAGTCTGGAAACAGATGGCTAGGAATAGAGCTTCGCGCGGCTAGTACATATATACTACACGATAGAACTCGAGAATCTTTATCTCTAGTTCTCTTCGCACGTTTATTACTACAATAATGGAAATTGTACCTTTCAACGGACTTCCTGATGCCAAAAAGGAAATCCGCGTCCTTGAACTTAGTACACAACTTCCTCTAGATGGCCGTTTAATAAGAGACTCGTTATACCCATTGAGCCACAATGGCAGACCCGCAGCGGGCATTCCTAGCCTATGCTGAATTCAAACAGGGAAGAAGCTCGAAGTATTTCCTCTCTTGCGGTTAACCAAGAAAACCCTTGCCTCCGACTCTCGTGATATTTTATTCGCAAAATATCACCTACTAGGAGACAAAATCACTACGCTTTTTTCTCCGACTTACATTCCGCCCCTTGATGGCATTTTTCGGTGGTTCCTGGAAGCATATATTGAGAAGGAGGAAGATCTATCGGTCATCTACAACAATGGATCATCTTTCAATGGTTGCACAAGTGAATTACCGTCGTGACTGCTAGACTGGGGTACTTCGAGTCCGGCATATCCTTTGCAGTGTTCCTGGGGTGGAGGCTGGCCTGTCTTTAGCGTATCTGGGAACACGGCGCCTGATGTGAGGTTCTCGAGAGATGGAAGCATTCTCTATGCAAAACGTATCATATTTGATACCATCGACAGCGTACAGTTTGGTTCATGGTGCCGTGAGACCATCGAACGTGGTAACGGTTGCCAATCACAGTCGGAAATTTGCGTTTACAGAGATAGAGAAACGCTCTTCGAAGCTCTTTAACGCATGGTCGTCGCGGAAACATACCTTCAAGAAGCGCCTCTTTTCCCTGAGAAGGCCCCTAGGGAGTTGGGCTACTTATTTGCAGGGAAATGCAGGAAATAAGATGAAGATCGAGCCGTCCTAAACGAGCCGCAAGGTTACATACCAACCAAGGCTCGTTCTAACGCTTCTGAGATTGAGAAGCGAAGGTGTGGCATAAGAAATATTCGGTTGGGTAAGACATTCCTCACTGAGGTTGTTGGCAAGGCCTTGTTGGAGTTTCCCGGATCCGAGTCCGAAATTAGGAGTGATGGCGGTGAACCTATCGCGAATCCTTTGTGGGCACCCTTTGAGCGTAGCCTTGAACAAGCTATGATTTACAGGAAAATCTTTACAACTTGCAGCGTATATCTTGGCTGGGTTCTCGTACACTGACGCCTGGTGATGGTGTATGTGTGATTCTGGGCTGCGCCACACCGTTGATTATCAGAGCGAGCTCAAGCAGGGATCATTACACACTTTTGTGCAAGATTTATATCCATGGTGTGGTGAGTGGGGAGGTGACTAAACAGTACCAAGTGAGGGGATAGAGGTCGAACGTTGGATTGGGCTTTGTTAGCTAGTAAGTACTTATGTACGTAAGCCTTGCAAAGCCGACCAGGCTTTATCTTTGATTCGCCTACCTACTTCCTCTCCTTGCATTTTCATTCGCATAGCTCACCTTGGTGATTCGCAACGAACATCATAGCGTATAATCCTTGCCCAAAACAATTCATGAGAAGAAATAATATCACCACCAAGGAAAACCCCATGAACAAGCGTCACGAACCAATCTCCTCGAGATTGGAGCCCCTCGTTGGCTCAACCGTATTTCTATGTGCCACTGCGCACCTAGCCCGATCGCTCGTACTCATCTCTCACCTACCAGCCTAGGGCGCGACAGAAAGCTCATACAGCAGGCTTCTGCACCTCTCTCATGAACCTCATGCTTCAGTACATGTGTGTAATGTCCTGTTCAAGAGTGAGAAGGCATCACGAGAAACGGTGCCAGATACTGCATAACTCCTGTCGATTGAGGGTAAAGCCTTCCTTTGTAGACGAATACATGGGCACCGTGGCCTTTTCAGCTGTCCTCACTGAGCGCGGCAATTCAGGAGAGTACGAATCTGATCTATCAACTCTTGATGAGACGGCCTTCTGGAGATATAGTATCAGTAAAAAAGTAACAGGAATAGAAGAAGAGAGAGTAGATGTTGAGTGCCTGAGCCGGGATACTATCGTGGCGCTCGTGAGATGTCTCGTGTTGGAATGGAGTGTTGACTTTGATTATCAGTTTTACCATCGCTTGAAAATAGGTGTCCTCTTCATCTAAGGTAAGTAGTGCGTTCGATCATATTACAGCCTGGCTTTATCAAACACATAGTTGTTTTATCATCATATTCTGTTCTCAATCCTCACAACGATGAAGGTCGGTACATATTAGAATACGTGTTTGAACTATCCAAACGACTTTAACGTACTCTTTGCCATTCTAAGCTTGAATTTATGAGTTTCAAACTTCTATCTAATATATAAAACGCGAAGCATCAACCTCAACCTCAACCTCATACTTCCAGAGCCCCACCGAGTCAAGCTCGCCAAGCCATGTATAACACCTGACTCGAACCACAAAGAATTCCAACACTACATCCAAAAGTTTGAACCTCCACCACAACGCAAATGTAACAAATGTCCTTCATCCCACGCCATGCCTTCCCGCCAATCCCCTCGCTGCCCCGGTCCTATTTCCTGGGCCACCACAAATCCGGGCTGCAAAAGATGAAATCCCTACTCGCCACCATCGACCTCGTCATTGAGTGCCGCGACTACCGCGTACCACTGACCTCTCGCAATCCGCTCTTCGAAAGCGCCCTGGAAGGCAAAGAGCGCGTAATCGTGTACACCAAGCGCGATCTCGGCGGCGGCTCCCGTGACAATCGCAACGAACATGTGATTGCGCAATGGCACCATCCCACCCCAACCATGTTTGTGAGAAACGGCAAGGATGCAGAGGGCGAAGCTAGCGGTCGCAAGAGCGTGATGAAACTTCTCGATTTACTGAGAGAGCATGCGCAGAAGAGGTGGAAGTTGGTGGGCCATCGAGTCATGGTCGTCGGTATGCCTAATGTTGGCAAGTCTACGCTTCTAAACGCTTTGCGTGCCCAAGGGATCGGAAAGGGAAAAGTCGCTGCTACGGGCGCGCAACCCGGTGTTACGCGTAAAGTTAGCAGTAGCGGTGTCAAGATTATTCCGAGCGAGGACGACGTGGAGTCTGCAGATGTTGGTGCGAGAAAGAAACTGCAAGGTGTAGGCGGAGGCGTCTACCTTCTCGATACACCAGGAGTTTTTATCCCGTATGTCCCAGATGCAGAAGCAATGATGAAACTGGCACTGTGTGGGTCGGTAAAAGATACTATTATCCCGCCTGTCATGCTCGCGGATTATTTGCTCTACCACTTCAATCTCCAGTCGCCTACGCTCTACTCGGAGTACGCGCCGCCCACGAACGAAATCATTGAACTACTCTCCGAGATTGCAAAGAAGACGGGTAGGCTAGGAAAAGGCGGGACGATAGACACCGAAGCGACGTCGTTGTGGCTGATTCAGAAGTGGAGGAGCGGCAGTATGGGTCGGTTCCTGCTTGACGACATCAACGAGACGAGTTTGGAGAAAGCAAAACTTGACGAGGAAGGCGCGATGCCGAGTTTCAACCAAGCAAGAAAAGCAGAGCGAGAGAGAAGACGAGAAAGGAATAGAGCAAGAGGAGAAAAGTAAACCGTAATATGCAGCCCAAGGTTGTAATTAAAAGATGAGTGCCTACTTCACATATATAATATGAATACTATCACTACTGATAAAGAAGAAATACCCTCCATCACGTTACCAAAATTGTCCCTGCTCCACTCTCACTTTTCCCCCTTATAATCTCCCATTCCCCCCATCCCCACAATCACTTCTTATTAGTCGAATCCGGCAGAATCACAATCGTCCTGAACTGCTGGTCTTTGACCGTCCCAGTCGCAAACGTGGATTGCGACGCCGCAGGCAAAACCAGCGTCTTAGTCGCCACAGCCGTCGACGTCGCCGTCGGAATCGTAAACTTGATAATGCTCAGCGACGGCGAACTCGACGGCTTACTCGCAGACGATGATGATGACGACGACGACGATGTAGGCTGTACAACCGTCACGCTCGACATGACGACGACGGGTACGTTTGTCGCGACAACAGTGGTGGCAAGCGCACTACTGCTCTTGCTAGTAGAAGAAGACGACGAAGACGAAACGGTGGCAGGCACGGGTTGCGGAGAATTAACATCCCTAACATCCACGAGACTGACGGTGCGCACAGGCTCCGTCGTGGTAGCAGTGCGAATATAAATAGCGATATTCTGTGCCTCGGGCGACTTATCGCACTTGCGCAGCTTTTTGTGCGCATGGCTGATCTTGATTCTCTGGCCCATGCTCTTGTTGCGGCCTTTCCACTTTGCGGTTGCGCAGATGGTCGTGCCTGGGTACCAGGGGTTTTGCATGTAGACGCGACGTTTCCAGGCGCCGCGCTTGACCAGTGGGGCACCGTCGCCTGGGCTGACGGTGACGACGGGCTGGATGGAGACTGTCTTGGTGTAGACGGGGGCTAGGGGCCGCTCGCCGCAGTCGGTGGGGAATTGGGCGCTGTATTGGCATTGGAAAATGAGTATGTGCTCTTCGGATTCTGAGTAGCATTCATAGCAGATGATGCTACCGGTCCAGGGGTGCAGCATCCACACGCCGCGGCGGGGGCCTTTCCATTCCGTCCATGCGCGCTTGTCGAGGGTCGTGGAGTTGCCGGCTGGTAGCTTGGGGTCCGAGTCGTCGTCCGAGTCGGAGTCTGAATCAGAATCGGAATCGTCGACTTCAGTGCTGTTGGGAACAACAGTCTTGTTGGCGGCTGGCTCGATCACTGCTCGCTCTTCCACATCTGGGACAATTACGACCGTCTTGAATGCGGCTGGCTTGGCCACGACTGTCTCGATCGTGATTGTCTTATTTGTAATTGCCGCATCTTGCTCAGCTGCCTGGTTAACGGCAGGCTGGGTCTCGTTCCATGAAGTCTCCTTGTTCGACCCAGGTGTAGACCTGAAGTTGAGCTTTCCACCCGCAATTGCTGGCCCATAGTGCCGCACCGTCAAGTTACCCTCGGCGGTCTTGGACTTCGAGCTGTTAAAGTTGGGCTGCCCGTTGATGAATGCCGGTCCATGGTGGCGAGTGGTCAAATACTCGTTGTTGGTCCTCTCAGTCGAGTTGGAGTTGGGCTGTTTGTTGGCAACACGAGGCCCGTAGGGGAGAGTCATTTCTCCACGTCTGACCTCTCGAGTCGAGTTGGATTTAGACGTCAGGTTGAATTCAGGCTTGGGAAGAACAATTGAAGCCCCATTGTGCCTGGCAGTCAAATTGTCACCAGGCCTGCCCGTCTCATTCAATCCCGCCGTCTGGTTAACGAAGATCGGGGTATGCCAGTGTGGCCTCTTCCTATCAGCGTACTGGATAGTGTCGTTCGTATCATGCGTCCAATTGCCAGGACCTGGAGGCAGACTTCGCTTCGGAGGCGCACCACGAATGCACATGTATGAGACGGAAAATATTGGGGCATTGGCGTCTCTGGACGGGATGCACGAAGAAATGACATCGCCAGGATCCACAAGAGTGTCGAGATAACGTTCCAAGCAGCCGAATTGCGTGTATGAATAGAAGTAGCAGCCCGTTGGCCCGGCATTGAGTTCCTTAGTCCAGTCGCCCTTCTTTATTTCCATGATCTTGAGGCTCGACGCACCGAACGGGATCGGCATGCACTTGTCACGCCTGAAGTCAATGTTGCCATAGATGGGTGGCCCGTTACAGTCGGCCGATGTGAAGGCGTAGATGCGGATTCTTTCATGCTTGGCTTGGGCGAGGGCTGTGAAGAGTGCGAAGAGTGCGAAGATCGCACTCACCAAGCGGAACATGCTCGATGGCTTCTGCTTCGGGTCAGTTTGTGATCACGTCGTGTGTGAAGACAAAAATGTGATAAAACGAGGGTTTCTCCCAAAGAGAGGTCGTGGAAGTTAGATATTAGTTACCTTGACGTGTGTTGACATGCTCTGTCAGTGTATTAGCGCGACTGTCTTGCAGTGATTGAAAGAGAAGGGAAAGAATGAGTATCACGAACACAATGCTTAGATCTCAAGGGAAACCCTCACCTTCCAAGCCTTTGGTATTCTCAGGAAGGAGACCTTGCTTGTTCAAGTTGTCTGTAGAAGAAGAAGCAGGTCGTCGGCGGATCGAAGAGGGGATTTATATGGAGGGGCAGAGCATCTCTTCCTCTTGGAAGCCCTTTTGCCAAGAAACAGGATTCAACTTTTCACGCAATCCACATGCCCGATTCAACTACTGGTGATGCAATTTCCCTGTAAGAACTCTTGGTACAGAGGGTCTCTGCAGGGTGCTTCACCAACGGGACGCTGCGATGGAGACACTGAGCACGGGCGGTTACCGGTTCACAGATACGGTAGCGAACAATTTGAAGCCGGAGAAGCTCATCTGTTGATAAGTCTTATGAATGTTTTTTTTGTTTCGGTACGTAAACATTCTGTGATTGGAATGAGAGGTGTCTATGCCGGCTCGTCAAGTACGTTTGCATTGTCGGATGGCATCATGGGACTGATAAGTTGACGGGGCCATGTCTCTGGAATAATGATACGGACGTCCTATGGAGAATGATTTAAACCAAGACTGTCATTATTTCAGACAATTGACTACCGACGATTGAGTGGTACTGTTGAATTAGCATAGTTATCATCCCCGCGCCGTTGGCTGAGTCAGTGTTGTAGGAATCCGCTCTATACTAGAACAAAGCGTAAGGAAGCAAATAGTGGAGCGAGTGCAATGCAGCTTCTTGGTATAGTAAATCGGGATAAACCTGTTGGAATTGAACTTGAACCCCTCCTATACCAAGACAAGATCTGCAAGCATGCTTTCAAGATTTTAGGATTGTCACAAACTAAGCTCCGTATGCGTGATTGGGTTTAGTCCATAGACTATCGAGGTATGCCAACATCACAGTCTACTAAGCGTAACAGTGGGCAGCTAGTCAAAACAACAAGGACAAGACCACAGGAGACAGGTGGTGCAATGAAATAACGATACTTGCCATCTACTCGCTTTCGAGTCCAGCGCAATGAGTTACTCAGCAGTTCACCTCCCTAACACATGCGTATTCTGAAAACCAAACGCCTTGTACAACCTCAACCAACTCCCACCATGGACTCATATCGACATGTGAATTCGTGCTTCTACCACTTGTCCCACTCATCGTCCTTCTTTGCTGATCCACCCATGCTACCACTGCCACCGCTCTTCTTCATAGCACTTGTTCCAATACCACTGGGCTTCTTTCTTTCCATAGTCATGCTGGTCCTTGCTTCACCTGCGCTGGCAAACTCGTCCCAAAAGTCCTGCTTGTCCTTTGCCGGTCCTTTGGGCGCCGCACCAAAGCTTTCCCAAAAGTCTTTGCGTTCGGGTTCGGGAGCGCCACGGCGTGCGGTAGACGAAGAATCGTCTCCTTCAACAAAGCGTGTAAATTGCGTATTGGCAGTTGCGACGCCAGATTGCAGGGTCTGACCTAGGGTGCCGGCGGTGCTACGGGCTTGAGCTGCGAGGTCAGCTTCGGCAAGCTAGAGGATAGTTAGTCGCAGGGATTTACTGAATAAAGCAGCACAAAACATGCCTTTGCCATTCCGGGTTTCACCCAGCCTTCGTAGCCTGTTTTGCCTACTTTGCTTACGCTGGCGCCCAACCATCCAAATCCTTTGGTAAGCGCAGCAACTGGGTCCTTTTGGAAGTCGTCAAGCGCAGGCGGCGCGCCAGGCTCGTCGTCCTTCTTCCACGAATCCGGCTCGCTGCCGAAGCCACCGTATTTTCCTCCCTGGTTGGGCGCAACGCCCTCCGGCCTGTTAGCATTCTCTTGACCCATCTTCGCAAAGTAGGCTTCGTTCTTGGATTTTTGCGACATTGCGTTTGTACCCAAGGCGGGTGATCCTGAGCGCTGAAAGCCTGTATCACTTCCTCGTGCCTTGCCCAAAGGTGTCTGGCTTCTGCTCCCTGCTGCGCTGGCTCGTCCACTCAATGGTGCACCCGCACCCGCCATAGAAGCATTCTCCTTTTTCGGTAACCGCTTAGGCAGGTTGCTCTTGTCAAACTCCCTGTTCTCGACCTTGCAGCTAAGCCTCTCTTTCCACTCATCGCCCGCCTCTGAATCGTATCGCTCTTGTATGGTTGACGACTCGAATGTGCGTCCCTCTTTCGTGTTCGACTCGTGGCTGTTGAAGAATTCTTGGAAGGGTTTGTTGCCGCCAGCAGCCATGCGCACCAGTTCTGAGCCTTTGAAAGCGTCCATGGTTATGCTGCGGATGAAGGAGATGTGGACACCTAGACCGCGATGGACGCCGGAGCAGGAGAGACACATGAAGATACCGAGTTTGGGCGAGGCCTAAAACAAGAGGTATCAGTAAGTCTGGTCGCTGCTCGCGTGCCTGGCCAGAAAGCGGGCGGGTGGTTGCGTACCCATTGTGGGCTGGGCGCATTGCAGTCGACACACTTGTTGTTGTCGTTTGTCTTTTGGATCTCCAACAACTGCAAGTAGAACGAATTAGCTTTTGAATCTTCGCAGGCCCCATAGTTTAACTGTGCTATGCTTCCATCTCCGCATTTGACCCCTAGCACCCCCCACCTCCACAGACTGGTAGAGTGATCGGCCTACCTTGCTCCGTGTCTCCGGATCCACCTCCCACATTTTGCTCATGGTGGGCAACTAGAAATTTATGCGATCGTACAAGAAGATATATTGTCAAAATTGATTGCGGTGTTGGGTGAGAGGGAATGTCGTGGTCGTGGGTCGCGTTGCGGTCGAGATTCAGGGCACAGGTGGGCCAAAGTGGGAACGCGTGGCGCGTGTGCAGTTGAGCCTCAATGTCTAAGTAACTAGCCAACAGGGGTCGCAGGCACCGGAGACTTCTCACCCCCCCGCTCTTTAGGCGTCTATACTTTTCGAACTTAACAATATGTGGTATTACAGCTTCAAAGAATCGAGACCAGGTTTTCTGTCGCATCATTGCAGGAGGAAAAGTCTGGTTCGTCTAAACGTCATTACGACCCTCGATCCGCAACTCATCGCTATCCACCCACTGAACCCATATCCAGCCTTCTTCTTTCCCTTCAAGAGTAATGATATCATTTTCATTACTTCCATTGATGAGGATATCGCGTGGCTGCCACAAAAAATCAACTCCAGTTTCTGCAAATGCTAGCTGAATAGCGTGGATCTGCGTTTGGCAGGCAAAAGTACCGAGTATTGGATCCCAGTCAGCGATTTTCAGTGTATGTAATGCTGGAAATATCGACTTCATTATAGGTGCGATTCCATGCAATGCGTCAGTAAATGCAGTTGAAGGCTTCAGCTCGTCCCCATCAGGGTCGTTGGCTATGAGATGAAGATGTTGAAGACGCTTAGGCAGGTGTTGCAAAACACTCGATAACGTGTTTTATCAGTAAGCGGCCCACATCAGTAAGTGGCCCACCCCACCAAACTTGACGCGGCTCTTTGCGCAATTGCTCTACAACAACGCAATAATATTAGATAGAAATAAGAGGTATTATTCTTTATCTAGATTTAC